CCAAATGACCCTGGCCTGCAAGGGGCCTACAGGCCTATACCATCTCAATTCCCTCCTTTTTCTTTTGTTTTAATAAAATTGCCTTCCAGAGGGTGGCCATAGAATTCTGTGATGGCTTTAAATAGCAGAAATGTAACAACACGAAGCATAAAATAATAACCAGTAGTACGAACCCCATTCCTCCTGCAGTGTGCCCCAAACTCTGAATAATACCTTTAGGATCCAGTCCCTCAAGTTGTTTAAGGAATAAATCGGCCAACGTGGCAGCATCTTCAGTTTCAAATGATCTACCAAACACTTCCTGAATATTTGTATGTAAATTATTGAGCATGTCAGTTGCTGACGAGTTACCTTCTAAGTAACTTTGGATGATGCTCCAATCATGTTGTGACTCATTGTATCTTAAATTGGTAACACAAAAGGTTGTAGAATTCCAATCGCAACGCAGCCAAATTTGCCTCTCTAGCGTCAAGACCTTCTTTCCTAACCAACTCACAGTCTAAGGACATCTATTTGTGTTTGTAAGCGAGTATCAATCATAGTTTGTGACAGCCAAAGATCCCGAGAGTCACGGTGCCAATTTTCCACAAAATGTTTAGTTTGTAAAGATGTATGTAATGCTATACCCGACACCGCGGCTAATGTGGTAACTGTAATTAAACTTAAGCGCCACAACAATGCCAACAAGACGCTTCATGCGTTTCAACATCTTTTTGAAAAATTCTAAAACTAAGGCGTCTACAGGATTTTGCGCCCACGGTCGTTCTAAATTTACTGGAAGCCAAATGTGAGAACGTTGTTGCAAAATCATAAGAGAATATTCTGGCTCAAATTCTATAGAACTATTAACACAAGAGTATAAACGACATTTGGTACAGTTAATTCCATTATCAAAGCTAAAATTCCCAATTAGAAACAAATATGGCAAAGGTACACATGCAGTCACATTCATTTCTTTAAGCATGGTGAAGTTATAAGTTGATGCAGAATTTGCTGTGCCAGAAAAAGTTCCATTGTAAAATCGAACAGTCTTAAGCGCAGCTGCAATTTTCCATAAGTGCGTTTGTATATGATCAGGAAATTTCTGATGTGATATACGAGGGTCCGCGATGCCGCCATCTCCCCAGGCCATCAATTGATGATTCACCATTGACTCATTCCATTGGCTCTGCGGTGGCATCATTTGTCGCCTCGGCAGAAGATGATACAGTAAGTAAGGCACACATAGCCAAAAATAAATTTTCAGGCGTGCAAGCCTTCCCTGTCCGCTGTAGGATTTTTTGCCCCTCCCCACTAAGCTTTTTAATCTGCCCCCAGGTCGGCAAAGCAGTAGTAAATGTCTGCCGGCGGCGACGTCGTCCTCCCAAATTCAGGTGTGCCATAGCTTGTAACGGAAGCTCATCCTGGTCCGGATTCCCCATCCGTCGTCTGGCGGGATACGGTGCCGTTCGAATTGGTCCTCGTCCGGATCCATCTCGCAGGGAGCCAGGAACAGGTCCGTCCATCCTCTGTGGAGATATAAGCATAACCCTTCCCTCTGAAAAGTAATAGCCCTGGTTGCCACTCTGCATCTGCAGCCGGTTTAAACCATATAAATTCATTTAATGGCGGAGGAGCAGCCTCTCCCTCTATGAAGTGCTTTTCTGCTCGGGAAAGAATATCTCCCTGCGGGAGGTTCAAGAAATTCAGTGTAAATAGTGCTTGTATCAAAATAGAACGCGCATTAGATTGAGTGAATGATAAGATATGATCCTTTTTCCTCCTTTTTAATTTTTTAATTTGCAATTTTAAAGTACTATGCGCACGCTCCACAATAGCCTGTCCTTGGGGGTTATACTCAATGCCTGTTTTATGCATTATACCATATTGTTTACAAAAGGCTTGAAATTTCTTACTGCCATACGCAGGTCCATTATCCGTCTTAATAATAGATGGCAAACCCATCACAGCAAAAGTTTCCAACAGATGCATGATGACATGTTGTGCAGTTTCGCCAGCTTGTGCTGTAGCCCACATGAATTGAGAATATGTATCTATTACCACATGTACATAGGCCAATCGACCAAACTGTGCCACATGAGTAACATCCATTTGCCAAAGTTCATTGGCATATGTTCCTCGGGGGTTTACCCCAGCTTTTATAGTGCGCAAATGTAAAGGTCTACAGATTGGACATTGCTTCACGATATGTTTTGCCTGACGGTATGGAATTTTATATTGAACATGTAGCCTCCCGGCATTGGTGTGTAGTAAATCATGTTCCTCCTCCGCAGATGCAAAGGACACCAAAGCATCCACTTGGGCATTACCGTGTGTCAATGAACCAGGAAGATTAGTATGGGAACGAATATGAGTCACATAAACACGAGCATTGCGATTCCTTAGCAAGGTTTGTAAGAGCAAAAATAGGCCAAGTAAGCTGGACTTATGTGAATACACAACAGCAGTGTATATATTTTTAAGGACTCCTACAGCATAAGCAGAATCAGCAATGATATTTACAGCAGAGGGAAAATCCTTTAACACCTGAGCAATGGCGAACAATTCATTTTGCTGGACTGAATCAAAGTCTGTAAACTGAACCCAATATTTAGTAGAGGTCCAGTAAGCACTTTTAGTCTTTTGAATAACTTTAGTCCATGATCCATAGTGCTCCCCTGTTGGTCGGATACGTTCCCAAGCCTCTAAACCTATCTCCCGTAATTGCTCATGAATTTCTTCAGGGGTATTAACCTGAGCAGCAATATCAGAATATTGACCTATACCTGCCAACATTTGGTAAGTGATGGCCTGTATCCGAGGATTGGGGTTTAGAGCGTTCTGACGAGCTCGATCCATACAAAGCTCAGAAAACCACATCTGCCACTGCAGATACTCAGGCTCTTTCAGAAGGGCTCTACAAAGGACCCTCCAATCTTCAGGAGAGAAGTTATTGTAACGTCGAGCTAGACCATTAACTAGCTCCTTAACATAATGGGACTGTGGTCCATATAGAGACACTGCCTTTTTCAAGCGACCAATATCCTCTATTCCTATACCTTCATAATATGGTGCTTGTGCTACTCCCTGGACCGGGGGAGGCCTAATAACAGGAAAAGCAAAAACAGAATTACCAGCCTCACCTTCATCATCGCTATCCCCTAGCGCATCAAGCTCAGCTAAGGCAGCAGAAAGAAAAGGATTTTTGGGAGAGAAAACTGGTGCGGGCGGCAAAGGCGGAGCGGAGGGCTCCTTAGAGGATTTCTTAGATCCCTCCGCCATAGCCATAGCCCGCTGAAAAACCTTCCATAAATGCTCCGTCTCAGAATCCAGCTTTGCTTTCGGTTTTGGTTCGTCGTCACCACATTCGCTAGGCTCACAAGACGGTGCAAGCTCAAAAGTATCTCTCTCTACCGCCTTTTTCTCATCTGTATCAAGAGGAAGGTCTTGTATAGAAGGAGCCATTTCCTTATGGAAGTTCTCAACCGTGCGGTCATCCTCCATTGCTTTAAGCACCGTAAATATAATTGACCAAATGGACCAAAACCGCACGGGAATTTTTTCTCCCTGTCTCATTGCCTTTTCGACATTATGTCGAACCCGCCGCCAACTATACATGTCTAAAGTAACCTCATCTGGAAACCAAGGATTCCATTCTCGAATCACTTTCAAACACATCTCAATACCGGTAGAAGCAACAGTGATGCCATAGACAGGGAGTGAATGCTTCAGCATTCGAACATAAGGAGTAGAAGTTCCTTGTCCCATAACCCTGTACTTACTCAAGTTACTCACCCTTCCTGAACGTCCTTCAGGGTCCCTGTTCGGGCGCCAATTGTCAACGTCTAGTGCGCTGGGGTCCCTGGGTAAGGGTTGTAGAAAAACCAGGACACAGGGGATGCAAAGCAAAGGCAGCACTTGCGACTGCATGCTGTCGTTTATTTTCCACACAGCTATATACTTGCAGCAATCAGATAAACATAACAATGTGTACTTTTAGCACATAATGGGATTAAGCTAACATCCTTGAAGAAAGATACACAAGATTTAATAAGAACAGAGTGTATCTTCTTTATGCTTGCTGAATCAAAGAATTCTCTCAGCCACCCTTCCCCTGGAGACAGCATGTTCTTGTCTCAAGAAGGAACACCTCTAATCTAGGCAAGAGCCACTTCCTGCTGATCCAGGCGTTCAGAACTTGCAACGCGAGATAAGGGGAAGAGAACATTTTCTCTTCCTGGCCCAGGCCTGCCTGGCTGTCCTTAACCTCACTGCAGTTCCCAAATGACCCTGGCCTGCAAG